CATTAACAGAGTAAAGTAATTGAGAGATTTAAAATGTTATTTTTAGTAAATAATGATGAATTTTGAGATTATTATGTAAAATAATGTAATATTTTATTATATTATTTTATTACAACAATGATGGTCACTATAGCAATGTTTTATATATATATATAAATAATATATAATCTTATGAAAAATCTCATATTATTGATATTACTACCATTTGTTATTACCGTTTATTATTACTTGTGTCATATTGACATTACCATATATAATAGTTGATATATCTAATGTATTACATTTTTATTCTAGATTTTACACAGAGACATGAAAGCCGCTAATGTTTTAATAACAAAGAATGGTGTATTAAAGTTAGCTGATTTTGGTTTAGCACGAGCATTCAGTGCAAAAAATGGTCATTCAAATCGTTATACCAATAGAGTTGTCACTCTTTGGTACCGACCACCGGAACTTTTACTCGGTGACAGAAATTATGGGCCCCCTGTGGATTTGTGGGGCGCTGGTTGTATAATGGCAGAAATGTGGACAAGGTTTGTATTGTTGCATGATTACGTTCTTACGCGATTTTTGTACATGATGATGCAATTAGATACAAATTTTTTAAATTCCCCAGATCTCCTATAATGCAGGGAAACACAGAGCAACAGCAACTTATATTGATTTCACAGTTGTGTGGCTCGATAACAACCGAAGTATGGCCTGGCGTCGAAAATCTGGATTTATTTACTAAAATGGATCTTCCCAAAGGACAAAAAAGAAAGGTAAGAGCGAAATTCGGTGTTGTATCATGCTGCCTTTAGGAAAATCAAATAGCGACATTTTTAGCATTATGCTCGATTTGTCTTTAAGATTTGTCTAAAAGTTGAAAGATGTAACGTCTCATCCTAATCATATATGTCCATGTTGATATATCAAGTTAAAGTTAAAAGTGACAGATTTTACACACACACACACACACACACACACGATCGTCCCACAACTTGCTATATATATGTACGTTTTTAATTTTATACATATATACAGGTATTTTAATTATATACATATATACAGGGTGTCCCACAACTCGCGAACCGTAAATTTTTATGACATTATTCCTGTAATTTTAAAAAATAA